TTTGCTGGGGCTGCTGCAGCGGATTCCGGGAGTGTCGGAGATCTCCAGGGCATGCGCAGCCAGGCTCTCCTGCCCCCGGGGAGGGGGAGGTACGGGATTGGTCAAGAATGAGACTTGGGAGTTCCACGACCCATGTGACCATCTCTTATCCCCGCCCCAAATTGTACTCAGACCGGCTGCCCCCCAAAGGGGCTCGGCAGGGACACCAAGGCAGGGCTCCTAGGTGGGGAGGGGAGGTGGCTTTCACTCTTCTGCCTAGGGACGTTAGTTGGGTCCCTCTCCTGGCTTGAGAGCCTCCACCCTCGCATTCCCACCCCCCAGATAGGACTTATCCAATTTGCACTGTGAAACCTGCTCTGTCCGCCTTGCCTTCTGCGTGCCCCGCCTTGGGGGCAGTGCAGGCTTGGGGTGTATCCATGCAGCCGGGTGAGATTGGAATGGGGGGCTGCAGGTCAGGATCCGGGGGGCGGACTCCAGTAATGCAGTAGCCTCAGGGCTGGGGTGCTTGTATTGGGAGGACTGGAGGCAGGACTGGAGTGGCACGAACTGAAGTGTAAACATAGAACGGCCTCAGGATGGGGAAACTGGCACAGGCCCTGCTCCCCGTTGCCTGGTTCGGGCCTGTAATAGCCTCCTCACGGCATTGGAGCTGGCCAACACGTGGCATTGGAGTGTGAGAGTGTGGCCTGCAGGGGCCAGCTGGGGAAGGGGGTGGGGACGCATTGGCTGGTGCAATTGGCTCCTGACTGCCTTGTTTTTCTCCTCCTAGTGTTACGAGACATCAGCGAGCGAGGCCGGGACCTTGAGCAGATCTTGTCTCAGTACATTACCTTCGTCAAACCAGCCTTTGAGGAGTTCTGCTTGCCAGTGAGTGAGAGAAAACAACCGCCCCCCGCGCCGGCTGGGAGCTCTCCTCTTGCCCCCCCCGGCTGCCATGTCTCCTTGCCCCGGGCAACACGGCAGACACATGGCTCTTGCTCCATGGGGCTGGGATTCCCAGCCGGAGGCGGCAGGGCAAGTCTGTGTTAGCAGGTGCCGCTGGCGCATAGCCCCTGTGGCTTACAGGCCATCTGGCTAGGCTGGGAGGCAGCTAGTGCCCAAAGCTTCTGGGCCCCCAAAAGGAGGGGCGGGGCACTGCTCTACTGCAGCCGTTCTGGTTGCCTGCAAAGCCAAAGAGGAGCTTGCTGGGGACTCCTGGAATCGGAAGGGAAGTGACTCCAGGTGCCCCCAGGGGAGGTGGAAATGGTTTTGGCTCCCAAGGCAACCTGAGGAGGCAGGATGAGGCTGGGCTGGGGGGGGGGTGAACAGAAGGAACCCGCTGCCAGGCTGTCTCCTGTTTAATGACTGACAAGGCAGAATTAGGGTGGGAGGGGCCTGCAACAAAGATCAGGGCTGCTTGTGCCCGGCACTGACTAAGAGCCAGACCCTGCCCCACCGAGCATGTGTAGGCACCGTGGACCAGGAAGGATTTCCCCCCCCTTCTTGCCCTTGGGGATAGTGAGACTCTGAGCTGTAGTGACAGGCCCCAGGTCATAGGTCGGTCGGCGGTGGGGTGGGACTAGAACCCAGAACTCCCGACTCTTAAGTGCTTTAACCATTGGACCACCCTCCCCCTTAACTGTGTGACTTTCCCATTCCCAGCCCTGCACGTCCTTCCCCTGGAGCCGAGGAGGGATGCCCTTGCTTTGCTCCACCAGGCGAGCTGCCTTAGCAGGTCCCTTGAGGTAGCAAGGGCTCTGGGACAGTCCAGGCTTGGCCCCTTCTCTCCAGCTCTCTGCCGTTCCACCTGGTGACTTCTGGGCCATGTGGAGTGGAGCAGCCCTGCCCCAGAGCCAGCTCCCTGCTTCATGGGGTCAGGGCAGTGTAGAGGCCCAGCAGGAGGGGGAGCTAGTCAGTTGCAGACGCGGGGGCAGGAAGCTGTGTTCAGCCAGCTTGGCATGCTCCTTTCCTGGTCACGGACCCCCGGCAAAGCTGCCCTCCCCTGCTGATGGCCCGGCAGGGGCAGGCGTGCGCAGCAGCGATGGCAGTAGCAGCTCTCTCCCCGCCCCCGTTCCTGCACCCGTGCAGAGCAGGCCAGGCAGCCAGCTGTAAGCACTGGGCTCTGTGGTACTGGGGGCAGGAGGGACACAGAAGCCCCCAGAGCATGGTTCCCAAGTCCCATGCTGGTCACTGAGGCTAGGGGGCTGGAGGTCGCATGGCTGGACTGCGGCACGAAAGCTTTGGAGGTAGGGGAGCAACGAAAACGGGTCAGTGACGCGCTCTGGTGTCTCCCTTCTCACAGACCAAGAAGTATGCGGACGTGATCATCCCCCGGGGGGCGGATAACGAAGGTGAGCGGTGATGCGCTGCCGTGGCCGGGGGCTTCATGGGGTGGGCGGGGGAGAGCGGCTGGAGGTCAG